CCCCGCCTGTCCCTATGCCCAGCCTGTTGGCAGCTGTGAATGCACACACGTGTGCCACCATTCACAAGGATATGTGAACATGTAGGCATGCATACAAAGGCATTCATATGTGCACATACACGTGAGCACACACACACACAAGCACATTTGCATGCATGTGTCCACTTATGAATGTGCACACATGCATGTGACTGTTCATGGACACGTGGACGTTCAGGGAAGCATGCAAATGCATTCACGCGTACACACCCATACATGTGTACACTTGTGAACACAAACGTGTGTGAACACATTCCCTTGCACACACACATGCACACCTGTACATGTGAACACACATGTATCTGAACACATTCTCAAGCACACACGTGTGAACACCCACACATATGCAAGCACATTCATACACATATGAATGTGCAGACATGCACGTGACCATTCTTGGGTGCATCTGAATGCACACGCATGCATGCAAATACATTTACATGCATGCACACACATGTGAATGCACAGACATATGCAGAGACGACCGTAGCAGGGTGCAGGGCCCGAAGCAAATCAGCCAGTGTGGGGCCCAGATGCAGCAGTGGTGGTGGTGAGGGAGGGGAGGGGAGGGGAGAGGGGCAACTGGCCGGATGCGAAGCCAGCCCAGCTCCACGGGGCCCTCCAAAGCATGGGGCAGTCACCTCGATTTGCCCCCCTAAGGATGGCCCCGGACATATGTGAGCACATTCACATGCACATACACATGTGAATACACACACACGCAACTATTCACATGCCTGTGTGAACGCACACAAGGTACACATGCATGCATCCGTATGTGAATGCACACACACACAGGGAGCCATTCATCGATTTCATAGACATTAGGGCTGGAAGGGACCCCGGAGGTTCATTGAGTCTAGCCCCCTGCCCGAAGGGCAGGAAGTCAGCTGGGGTCATAGGATCCCAGCAAGATAAGCATCCAATTTACTCTTGAAGGTGTTCAATGTAGCCACTTGAACCACCTCCGATGGCAGGCTGTTCCAGACCTTGGGGGCTCAGACAGCGAAGAAGTTCTTCCTTATGTCCAGCCTGAAACGGTCTCGCAGTAATTTATGACCGTTTGACCTCGTCATCCCTTGGGGTGCGCTGGTGAACCAGATGCTGGTGAGCGCCCTGATAAATTTATAGGTGGCCACCAGATCACCCCTGAGCCTGCGCTTTTCCAACCTGAATAGCCCCATGGCTCTCAGCCTCTCATCATAAGGTCTGTTTTCCTGACCTCTGATCATGTGCGTGGCTCTCCTCCGCATCGCATTGCAGGCTTATGTTCATCTTGTGCCTTCAATGCAATGCTGCAGCTAGTAAAGTGACCAAAACACTGGCTTGCATCCATAGATGCTTCTCAAGCAAATCCCGGGACATCGTTCTCCCCTTGTACTCGGCCTTGGTGAGGCCGCAGCTGGAGTACTGCGTCCAGTTTTGGGCTCCAGAATTCAAAAAGGTTGTGGAGAAACTTGAGAGAGTTCAGAGGCATATGTGAATGCATACGTGCACACATGCAGACACATACATGTGCATGCCAACACATTCACATGCGCACATATGCTACCACAAAAGTACATGTGGACGCACATCCCCCTGCTCACCCGTGCTAAGGCCAGGTACATCTCCAGCTCAGCGATGCGGCGGCCAACACAGCCGCGGATGCCGTAGCCGAAGGGGATGGAGCTGAAGGGGTGGTGGGGGGTGGCCCCGGCCCGGAGCCAGCGCTGGGGCAGGAAGCGCTCAGGCTCCGGGAAGCTGCGCTCGTCCCGGGACAAGGTGAAGTGGGCGAAGCTGATGAGCGTCTGGAGGGACACGGAGGTGGCAGGGTGTCCTCAGTGACCCCCCACCCCTCCCCTCCCAGCCTGGGCCCACCCCAGGAGCAGTGGCACAGCCCCAGCCTGGGCTGCAGCCAGCGCCTCTGGGGAGGACTTCAACCCCCTGACACGTGGGGCAGGAGCGGGGATAGGGGAAACCCCAGCCCAGGAGGCTCTCAACAAAGTGACACGAGCTCCCTGTGGGGCCCCAGCCCCTGACCCAACTAAATCAACTGCCCCCCACTATGGCAGTGCCCTCCAGCCTCATGGACCTGGTTCCAGCCCTGTAGACTCACCCCCTTGGGGAAAAGGTAGTCCCCGACAATGATGTCCTTCTCCACGGCCACACGGGAGTTGACCTGGACCACGGGGTAGAGCCTGGGGGAGAGGAGAGGAGGGAGCTGGGCCTCCAGCCATCAGGTCTTGGAGGGGAGGCCGTGGGCACAGCCATGGCAACCAGGCGCCCGCGGGGCTGACGCTGCGGTCTCCCCCCCGCCTATCACTAGGGAGTCAGGGCCCTGGGCATGGACCGACCAGGGACTTGAACCCACGTCCTGCCAGCCCTGGCCAAGGGCATCCAGCCCCCACCTGAGCGTCTCCTTGATGATGGCCTTGAGCAGCGGCATCTGGGCCAAATGAGGGGCATCGGGGACCTGCCCCCCGACA